TTAGATTATATTAGATTATATTATATTATATTATATTATATTATATTATATTATATTATATTATACTGTCTACTATTTTATTCTGTCTACCAGCAGCTCGGAAAGACGGAGTGAGAGCCCTCGGAGTTTTTCGCCAGGCTGACGAGCCCTCGGAGCAGGACTTCGTTTCGCGAGCCATCGGCGAGACCGTTTGAATTGATCCCTAAACCCTAAACCCTAAACCCTAAACTGCGAGAAAATCGAGGATCTGGTGATCGAGTCCGTGAAGCGCGCAGAGCGGCCTGGGTTGCTGCCTCAGCAACAGGCAAGGGTTGGCAGAAAGGAACGGATACTGTTGATGATAGAAATCCTGCATTACCTTATAAGGACCCTAAACTATGGTATATTCCTTATTACGGGTAATGCAGGATTTATATCATCAGCCGTAAGTCCCAGCAAGTTCCGGCCAAGGCCGACTTCCTGGACCTCCCGTGCAAGCACCCTGAGATCTTCTCGGGAGGCCTTGGGGAAGTAACTTTACCTAATAATATAATACATTATACTATATTTTAATATAATTTATTAGACTATATTATATGATCTATATTATATTATCTAACTGAGCTGACACTGCTACCTGGAAGGCCTCCAGGCGTGCGGGAGGTTTCTTCCCAAGCAAGCGAGCTACAACCTCAAGTTAGTTGGCCGGTTCGAGTCGGAAGAATGCTACAGCTCCTCGTGGCTTCCGACCTTTTGACACTGAAGGCCTGGGGCAGCTCCTCAGGAGGCTCTACTACTTGTGCATCTTCCGCCCTAGCCAGCAGCAGGCCACTGCTAGCTCGTGCCACTTTGTGCTGCTGCACCGCTGTCACCGCTGTCCCTGCACTTCCGGTCCAGGTCGATTTCATTTTCTGCACGACAGGATGCCACCTCAGCTGCCATAGAGTAACGGGCTGGGGATGCAGTGGCCTGTTCACTCAGGTGGAGTCAGAAGCTTCAGACCTCACAGCAGGTGAGGACGGTTTGGCGCTGGCAGGGCTTGGAGCCCAGCACGTGCAAAGCTTTGCTTCCTGGGCCTCCTCGGCAGCTGTACTGCTGCACGAGGACTCCCTTGGCTGCCATCCGTCGGCGACGCAAAGGCGCCCAAGAGCGCGGCGAGGCCACCGTGCCGTCGAGGATGCATGCGGTTTTATTTTCAGGGAATCGGGCGTCAGGAGGCTGACATCCGCGACTTGCTGCGTCGCTTCGAAGCTGGTGTCGGACAGGAGGCTCGACCACACCCTGTTGGGGCAACGAAACACTGCAGCAGGGTAAACTCACTGCCAGTGTGTCCTTGCAAGTGGTTTGCGGACGATAGGAGACTTCTCAGACAGCGTGCGGCCCCGCTCCGCGACCTATGACCTCAGATGTTTGGACCCCGTCCAGAGTTCGCCGACACTTCCACGTCAAGTCACCGCATCCTCAATCTGTGGTCCCGTGCCAAGGTCCGCATCAATCCAAGAAGGCCTCTCTCGGCTTCAAGCCTGTAGCCCGGTCTGCGAATGGAACCTTCGGAACGGAGGCCGCTCGCAAATGCCTCCAGGCCCTTCTTCTGGCCTTCGATCCTCTCCAAAACGGCAGTCCTCGAAACGAAGGGTGCTCAGTTGCCCACTGCGCAATCTTCCGGTCACGAGAGATGAGATAAGTCAGATAAGTGCACCCTACATCCAAAACCCTTGAAGTGCTTCCTGAGCACTTCAACTAACTTTACAGTACATGATTTTACATCGTAAATGTGCAAAGATCCAAGAGGTTCATGTTTCTTCAGATCTGCTCGGCCCGACCCCAAGGCGAGATCTGTGATGGAGTGCTGGAGATGAGTCCGACCTCCTCGCAAAGTATGCCCAAGCCAAAGGCCCGCCCATTGCTGCGCCGATTTTTGCGGGTATGAGTCCGACTGACTCACATGAGCTGCAGATCCTGCCATGTTGCAAGGCATTTGGGTCAGCAGAGGTACTTCTCATTTCGCAGATACTCGACGGCAGCACAGCAAGTGTTTTCCAAAACAACTCGATAGATCCAGGAGTCTCCTCCCTGTACCCTCAAATAGACAGTCTAGTACGCCTTGGCGACGTGTATTGATGACTTCTTGTGGCACTCGTCTTGTTGTAGTTGTAGTGTTTCAGCTCTTCAACAACGTACGTGTATATGACCCCCCAAACGAAGGTAGGAAATTTGGGATTGATAGAGGCAAATGAATGGAGGGTGTAGGATCTCTGGATCACTTCGTTTTTTCGCTCCCACTTCCATTCAGGAGCTGAGCGCTCAGTTTGTTTCACACTTCGTATTTCGTGTGCAACATCTGCCCACACATGCCGTGAGTATCCGCAGAAGATGCTGACACGTCGGAGCTTTTGGGAGTCGATGTTGCTACGCCAACACCGAATTCACTCAATAGGCACGGTCCGTGACAGTGTGTTGGATGTACAGAGCTGAACAGGCTGTCACCCGAGGTTGGCTCTACTTGCGAAGAGGGATCGTGCAGTTATCAAAGCTCCCAGATTTAAAAGAAAAGACCCTTACAATATACCCCTTACAGTATAGACTTATAGACCTGCAAAAGAAAAGAAGCTTCCAAGAACTTCGGTAGATTTCAGCTCAGTGGCCGACCTGCCGAAGCCTCGATTCTGCTCACTTGGCTGCGCCTGGCTGGAAGCGGGGAGAAAAGGGGCCTTTTGGAAGCTGCAGCGGGGCCTATCCGGGGCCCTGGTGCGTGCCCCCCCTGATGCGACAGGTGCTGAGATCCGAGGATGCCTGCTGAGGCTTGGAGTCCCGCTTGTGCAAGCTTCTTCTTCTTCTTATTGTTATTATTGTTTATTATTATTATTATTATTTACTATTGTTGTTATTATTGTTATTATTATGTTTGTGCGCCTGCACGCGTGGAAGGTCCGGGATGCTCGCCGGGCTGTGAGAAGGCGAGAGGTGGTGGAGGCTTTGCCTCGCGAGTACTACCTGGCAAGGTCACGGATGGAACGCTTCGACGTGGCAGAGGAGCTCCGACAGATGCGCTCCGCGGAAGCACGACGGCACTATGACAGCTTGACGATCCCACCGCTGGGTCTCGTCGAGCGCAAGTGTCCCTATGGGGCTCCGCTCCCAGTCAAGAAGTCTCGCCCAAAGAAGGCGAATCTCCAAGCGATGCCACTATCGCAGTCACAGCCAATCCTTCCATCCACAGGGGAAGCAAAGAAGAGATATCCCGGGCTGCTCCTTTTGGACATTCCGTACGACCCTACAACCTTCCCCAACGAGCACGACGACCGCATTCGTGCTATCGATGGGCAAATCGCCGAGAAAGAGCTCTTCCTAGAAAAGTCTGACAGCGAAGCAGCTCAAAGGATGCGGCAAAGCTTCAGTGCCAAAGCACCGGACTTTAAGTTTGACCATGTGCCGGATGGGACCATCTCGGAGAACGCTTCACAGGCAAGGGTGGGAGCGGCAAGTCTTCATTCTTATTTTTAGTTACTATTATTTATTATTGTTACTGGTTATTAATTGAATATGAATGATTAGTAAGGATTATTGATGACTATTGATCATGAATAATTATATATTATTAATGCCAGCTGCACGCTGCCAGTTCTTTCCTCGAAGTCCAGAGCTCCTGGTGGACATAGGCTGCGTCAAGGACCGAAGAATCGGAAAGCAAGGTGGCATCGTGCCTGAAAACCAGGGCTGCCATGTGACGCAACATGTTCTAGTGCAAATGTTGAATGTAGGGAATCTAGTTGCGCTCGTGCTGTTGCAATCGAGTATTGTGCTGTGTTGCATTGAATTCCGTACTTGCCTGGCCGCGAGGATCCTCGTTTCTGTCGTCCGCGACGGGCTTACTGACATGCAGATTTGCCAGCCGGATCCGTCTTGCTTGGCAGAATATTTCCAGCTGCAGGATCATGCGGGGCAGCCTTACAGCCCTATACCGCCTAGGGCAACACTTCAAGCTCATTGATTTCGGCTCGTGGCCATGCTGCTGACGGAGCTTACTGCTCACGTGCCTCCTCTCACTGCTGCTACAACTGCAAGTCTAACTACAACTGCAACTGCAACAACAACAGCAGCAGCAACAACAAGGTACTTGGTGCGTCTGCCGCCGTGGAGCGTGTGTCTTTTTTGTTGAGTTTTTTGTTCAAGAGCCTCAGCATCTCGAGTTTGCGTGGTTTTCGTGAATAGGAATATGTTTTGTCAATTGTTTTCTATGTTTCTTGTTGTTTTTAGTGTGGTTCTTGCGAAAGTGTCGCAACTACCGTGGTTATCGTTCTTTGTGCTTGAGTTTTGCGTCAGTTCTTGAAGTTTTAGTTCGGAGAGCCAACAAAACGCGAGACTTTTTGTACTGCTACTGCTACTGCTACTGCTACTGCTACTGCTACTGCTACTGCTACTGCTACTGCTACTGCTGCTTCTTCTACTTCGATTACTTCTACTACGACCGCTACGGCTACGACTAGGACGATGACGAGGCTAATGACCAGCACATACTATTACTCGGACTGCGACTTATTATTCTGCGGCCACGAGGCCAACTACGACAGACAACGACGAGGACGAGAACGACTAGCAGAAGTAATGTTGATTGTCATCGCTGTAGTAACGATTCGAATCACAAGATTGATGACAGAAGCGTAGAGCGAAGACGGTAACTTGGCCATGAAGCTGGATCGGCGGAAGGAACTTGCGCAACATTCTACACGGGGGAGGGAGAGACTGCTCCAGGGTTGAACTGTCTCGGATCAGAAAAAAGCGCAAGGGGGGCACCTCGACCCAGGTGGGGGCCCTACGAGCAGCACCGTGAGGCCATCGTGGGCATCTAATATAGTATAATAATAACATAATAAAATATGAGAATATAGTATATTATACTATAATATATTCTATTCTATTCTATTCTATTCTATTCTATTATATTACATTATATTATTGTACCCCGAGCTCTTCGGCCTCAGGCCCCCTTCAGCGCTCTGAGCCTCCTGCACAGGCCTACTGGAGACAGAAGATGGCCAAAGCCTCGTGATGACATGGGTAGTTCTCTAAATTAGGATCCCTTTTCAGGGTTCTTTTTATAAGTATGTCGTACTACATTGGGGACCTAAAAAGGGACCCTAATTTAGAGAACTACCCACATGTCAAGCCTCAGATACTCTGCACTCTTGCTGGGATCAGGCCCTGTCATCGAAGGCCTGAGGCCTGACTCCGAGCGCGTGATCGCAGAAATGCGTGATATGTAAGGCTAAGGGTTAAAGGATAGCCTCATCCCATCGTCAGGAATCTGACTGGGACTCGAAGCAATCGTGCCCTCCAGGAAGCACTTTTGAATGAAGCAGAACAGTAGGGCACACAACAAGCAGGTCCACAAAGAGTGCAAGGTTGAGAGCGGAGGGGGTTGGATACGGAGCTTCTTGCTGAAGCAAGAGCTCTTTTGCATCTGCGAATTCGCAAGTTTTAATGGGCATTCGGGCTGCGTGACAGCTTGACTACCCCGGCATGGAGCAAACCGGTTGCGTTCTCGGCTGGCTGTCTCACCCATTGAAGCTACATGGTTCATGCTGACCTTGGCCACCAAGTTGTCAAAAGAAATTCAATTGAAGTTCTCGGCTGCTCTAGCCATGATCTGTTGCTGTCTGAAGTAGCTTGCACATCCATCTGCTGAATCGCAGGGGGCGACGTCTAGTCGTTCTGTCGATTCGACATGCACACGGAGGAAGACATACAGAGCAACACTACCAACTACTATCGTCCCCCCTCACCTAGCCCAAAAATACAGTCCCATGGTCACCACCAAAAGCAGCACCAGCACCACCATTGTCAGCTTCACCAATGAGACCGCCAGCTCCGTCCCAACCACTCTACATACCAGGTCTTCCCCTACTGACGGACACAGTTCCTTTGCCACCCTGGTTCCTGTGTTTGTCTTCTCTAGAACACAGCAGCCTGCCATGTAGATAGCAGCTTCACATGGCTGGCGAACCGCTGCGCATTACTGTCGTGTGTCACGGTGGACTGGAAGACGACGCAGCTTGGCAGTAATGCCAAAGTTCCTGAACTTCAGAAGTTCGAAAGCTGTTAATGTCATGTGGATGGGTGGGTGGGGGTGGGGTGGCAGTGTGGGTGTGGGGGCAGCGGGTAAATTAAGACATTATTGTCCACCACGATCCGAGGACCAAAACCTAGGATTCATTGTGACATACCTACAAACAGCTGGGGCATGTGCTGCCATGTGAGGAAAGTACTTGGCACCCCGACTGCAAGCCCTGTCTCCGGTGAGTGCCAGACTAGATTTCATACCTTCGTAAATTGGCAGGCGATACATAGTGGACCTCGGGTGCAAGTTGTTTCAGGTGCATGTGGAATAGTTGGGTGTGATGGTGAGCAGTGAGCCTGTGAGTGTTACTGAGAGTCACCCTACTAGTCCTCAAAGGCGACAGACAGAAGCGCAGACATGCCAGATGTGCAGGAGTTTATGGACATGGATAATGCAAACTTGTGCGGGCTGATGAAGCTTCTAGACCTGTTCAAGCCGGCATGACCCATTGCCCGCCAAACGGACGCCCAATCCCTAGCTCCAAAACTGGCCCGTTGCGTCAGTTGGATATCGTGGATGCTGTGGTCTCAGTTTCTCTGCCTGACTTAGTCAAGGCCACTGTGGCTGACCTGAGAGTTTGAGAGTGCTGCACAACGCTTGGGCTTGAGCCTTCCTGCCTCTCTTGGAGGGAGGCAGGATCCCCAAAGAAGTCGACAACATGCGCACTTACATGCACACCTGAAGCCTCGCAGGGGCGCTCAAAACCAAGGTGCAGTATGCAGTATACAACTATAGAATGTATACAGCCGGCCATGCAGACCTGATCACTCCGAGTAGGCTGTTTCTTCGGAACTTGCATTCCATAGTGGCGGCTCATCTCAGAAAATCGCCGCGATGGTCCTGATTCGCCCCAGGCCGGTCGGGACTGCCGATGCGTATCACCTGATTTAAAACACCCATGCCAGTTCAAGCGTGCATCAGCAGGCTCAAGGTAATTAAAAGCGTAACTAACTCTCCAGTGCAATTCATCCTTGCCCCCCCAACCACAGACCCCGCAGATAGTCCTTCGGCGGGAACGTCCGCTACAGGAATTGTGGCAGTTGGTTCCTTATTGCGAAGGTTGGAAACAGGAACATACATTCCACTGCGGACCAGACGAGTTGCAAGCGGCATCTGTCGGCACATAAACATGTGAGGTGAAAATGCTGACCACGATGCAAGACTAAGATGAAGACATGTGTCCAGCTGACGTCAGTCGGTGCAGAGTGCCATTCGCGATGGACACGGTGATCCGACCCACTGCCCACGCGAATTCCATCGGGAAGGGTGCCCGACTTGAGTACCGTGCTTCCTGAACACAGTAATTAGACGGAAACGATTGGTCAAGGGTGCAGTTTACCACCAGAGACTCCGGGCCGCTGTGCGTGGCCCATGGCCATGCGATGGAAACTGGTGTACCCTCAGACTTCGGGCTCAGAAAGTATGCAGCAGATGCCGGCAACTCCGTTTCTTACGTCACGTGCTCAGACATCCAGGGTGCTGCTGACGAGGAGTTGTTAAAAACCGGATCGGACTCCATCCCAAGCTTCGTTCCCCCTCTCCAATAAGCACCAAAGAAGTGGATTCTCTACTGCTAGGGCTGCCTGGCTGCCTGCATCCACGGGCTCATATTGACTCGGTCAGCCTAGATCTAGGTCCGCAGTGGCACCGAACTGCAAAGGCAACGATAACGATGCAGTTCTGCTGTTTCGCCGATCCTTTCGCATACTGGTAGTGCCAGTACCAGATTTCTCGGCCTCTTTGTCACGGGAGTTCTGATCATTCGGAGTGCTTGCTACGAACCTGATGCAGCGGCGTTCCAACGACAAATCTGCTTGTGAGTGGTTGAGCACATTCGCATCATGAGCAGTGTCTCTTCCTGGCAATCTTTGCGCGATGAAGTTCGCAGACCATCAGGTTTCATCGTTTCGAGCACGGATTCTCCAAGCCAGGTTTCATGAGTACGACCGAGTGCCCATCGGTCTTACGCAAGAAGGCGCATAGACCCGTACAACAGATGGAAAAAGGCTCGGCCACATACAAGAGCTAAGCCCTAAACCCTAACCAAGCCACAGATGTGTGAAGCCGTAAGCAAGTGCCGTAGTGATTGTACTCCGGCAGGCTGCCGCGGATATGTGCAGGCACGGGATGTGGGAAATCTGCTTGCTTTGAGAAGTTCACATTCATTTCAGCAGCGAACCAAATCAAACTGCTCTTACTGTATGTTCTGATAAGAAGCATGCTCTTTGACATGCCAGAAGTTTGTGTGGCGGAGACTTTGCGTTTAAGGGTTCTCTGGCCATTGCTGTCCTGCCAGTTTGCATGGCCTTGGTGGGCCTCCTCCGACTTGCAGCACCGAGCCTGGCCTTCGGCCAGAGTTTCCAAGGCACCGCCTCGACCGGCAGAGCTGCACAAGACAAGACACCCTTCGAACTGGCCGACTTACGTAGATGCTAGATAGTATAGTATAGTATCGTATAGGATAGAATAGGATAGTATAGGATAGTAAAGGATAGTATAGCATAGTATAGTATAGGATAGTATAGGATAATATAGGATAGTATAGGCAGTATAGGATAGTTTAGTATAGTATAGTATAGTATAGCATAGTATGGTGTCTTGACACAGCGTAGCTTCACACTTGCTGACACCGCGACAGGTCAGAGCTGCTCACGTGCTCGTGGCATTGGCTCTGCCAGAGTCACGGCTCGCGCCAGGGAGGCAGAGCCCACCTCTTGTGCTCTTAGCGCCAGTCTTCGAAGCATCTCAACATACTGGGTCAGGGTTTAGGGTTTAGGGTTTAGGGACTGCGCTGTGGTAGTCAGCTTTGGCAAGGTACCCATGTTGTGCGGATGTGAGACTCTTGCCAGGACGGCAAGTCTCTGTCGAGCATCGTGGACTTCAACCCCTCAGCGCCTTGGATGACCAGCTCTGGCAATTCTGTATACTATGCTGAACAGCGGTGCAAGTGTAATGGAACACCCGTTGGACGCCAGGAAGTTGACTTCTTCCGAGTCAGCCGCAAGCTTGCAGGACTAGCGCCTCAGGTTAGCTCCATCGCTACTCGGCCTTTATGCAGAGTTAGGGCCACAGATCCACGGAGATCCGGGTTGATCTGGCTCTCCCTGCAGCCCCAGGTTGTCACTTCGATGGTGCTTCTAGGGGTCACTTGGAGAGCACTCCTTGTAATAAACCCTAAACCCTGAACCCTAAACCCTAGACCCTTAAAAGCGCTTAACGGGCTTCTGGTTCCTTCCGAGGTGCTGTCGGGTGGGAGTTCCAGCGATCAGGGCACTGGCCAGGTCCGAGATTGGAACACGAAGGTGCGCTGCCTCGGTTGCTACGGAAGATGGGAGAAGATGTTTGCAGATTGTCCAAACCAATCTCTAACAGTTGCCGCCTCCGACTTTAGTTGCACGCCCGACTTCAAGCAATCCGTCGTGTACAGGTTCAGGCCAGTTTCCAGGCAGTGTCAGCCTGCCGCCTGGACACAGGTTCAGATCAGCATCTCCAAAGACCGCGGTTCAAACGCAGATGGGACTGCTTGGCAACGCAGCTTAATGTCGGCGAAGCGGTCTGAGTTCGGGAACTTGCAGCTTCACTGCCTGTCTCTTTGTTGACCATGCTTCCTGCTCGGCCCAGTGTTGAGTAGCTGTTTTTGGAGCAAGCCAGTAACATCGGGAATGATCATCATCTCAAGTTAGCTTCTGGAGCCGCCATAGCGCACCTGCTGCGAGTCTCTACAAACTGTTCGCAACAAATCTGTCGGCTCTCTTGCGACACCGAACACAACATGTTCGAACTTTCGGGCTCAGAATTCAACGGATAATGATGTTGTCGAGATCTCTCTGCCATGCCGCGAAGATCTGTGAGCAGCGTGCCAAAGAAGCGCGGCACGGCATGCACAGGCGATGCCAGGACGAAAGTGTGTCGATCAAGCAGCTTCTGCACATCTGTGATTGGTAAGGGCAGCCGGCAAACGACACACATTGCTTGTTTCAACTCTCCCCAACCCCTACAGTACTTACCAGCTCGTGGCATATCCACCTGGGCATCTAGCTGTCCTACTCTTGCAGGCAAGCGCGACGTGGCGAGAAAAGTCTTGAGTAAGACGTGGCGTGGGTGTCTACAACTACATCCGCGAGTGGACTGCTCCAACATCCTGCTAAGACAGCGGGACTTGGCACAAGCATCTGGCTTCTTCCGCGAGTGTCCTGGTTTCGAAGATGACGACGCCAGCAGCCCTGCCACATCAGTTTCTGACGTTTGCTTGCTGATACCCACCTCTGCCCGGCTTAGCCGTGGAGCACGAGCACTACTACCCGATGTGCTTCTCTGGCTCGTGGGAACTTCTCGTTTGCCGTTGGGGGTGGCCATGGTGTTCGTCGATCAAGACTTGCGACCGGTCGCGCTACGATCGCACCTTGGCAGCAGCTACTAAATGGAGTCGACACTCATGAAAATAATAGTAATAGTAATAGTAATAGTAATAGTAATCGTAATAGTAATAGAATAGTAATGGCAATAGCAATAGCAATAGTAATAGTAATAGTAATAGTAATAGCAGTAGTAATAATAATAATAAAAATAATAGTAATGATGAAGCTTTTCGTGTTAGTACCCTTGCATGGAAGCAAGGCTTTCACGTGCTGGCGAGCGTCGCTCCCGGTATGATGCGGTTGTTGCCGTTCGCCTGTTGGCCCTGAGCCGCTATTTACTATGTGAAAAGCTGCATGCTGCCGTGGAGAGATGGCTTTGGCGAACTTGCCTGGCCGGACGGCAGGCCTTTGCATCCCAGTTGCTCGATGGGGAGGTGAAGGAGGGCTTTGGCTTTCGTGACGCCTCTGCGAGCTTCAAAACCTTGGGAGCTCGCCGAGGTCTTGCCCGTGGCTTAGCAGAGCTTTCGAAAGCAAAGCTGCAGAAGATCGCGGAGGCCCGTCAAAAACTCCCCAAGACCTTTCTTTCTGTCTTATGGAGCCCTAAACCCTAAACCCTACACCATGGCTGACTATGTGCCCCCAGAAAACCTAAAATATCCCGTAGAACCCGAAAGGCCCAATCGCTGCTCTCGGACGACTGCGCTGTGGTGCGGGAGCATCTGGGCTCGTCTCAGGGGATTCAATTTCAGTTACGATACTAAAGAAGCCACATTATGTACTATAGGCTCTTATTATGGTAACTTAAAGCCCCTAAACCCTAAACCCTAAACTTAAACCCTAAACCCTAAACTCTAAACCCTAAACCCTAAACCATAAACCCTAAACTTAAGCCCTAAACCCTAGACCCTGAGCCATAAACCCTAAACTTAAACCCTAAACCCTAAAACCAAGGCATTTTCTCCGAGCTCTTTGCACCGCAGGGCCCGAGGCCGCGGCTCCCTGCGCCGAGCAAATGGCCCCTTTGGCTAGAGGAAACCATGCTATAGGGTTTAGGGTTTAGGGTTTTACAGTTTAGGGCTTAGGGTTTAGAGTTTAGGGTTTAGGGTTTAGTACTTAGTGTTTAGAGTTTAGGGTTTAGAGTTTAGAGTTTAGGGTTTATTTATAGAAGTTGTATAGGGTTTGGGCCCGGGGTTTTGACCTAAAGTTTTGAGCGAAAGTGCTGTTTTCAGCTATTGATTTTGCATTTGAGCGAAATTGCGCTGGGCTTGGGCTGGCTTGCCTGGATTGGCTGGGCTGGGCTGGGCTGGACTGAGAGGACTGGGCTGGGCTGGGGTGGGCTGGGCTGGGTTGGGCTGGGGGTGGGCTGGGCTGGGCTGGTGGCTATTGGCACTGCTATTGGCGCTGCTTGGAAGTGGTCTCTTCCCACGCATTTAACGAAAATTCGAAACTAGTGCAGATGCAATTCGAAGCGAAATTCACAGGATTTCTATGTATCCCGTTCTTGAGGGTTTAGTCTTTAGGATTTAGGATTTATGCTATGTTGGACAATGGTGTCGTGTAGTATAGTATAGCATAGTACAGTATAGGATAGCATAGTATAGTATGGTACAGTGCAGTATAGTTGGCTTCAGCTTTTTTTGTTCCTGAATATCTTTGGAGAATTCTCCACTCAGGTTTCCTGCTTGCAGGACGAGTCTGTGAGCGTCTCTGGCCAGGCAGCTCTGACTCTTTGCCAGCTTTCCCAAAGTGGCAGCAGCCCGGGCTTTCGGGCCTCAGAGGTCGCCAAGCTTGTCGCGCCACTCCTCAGAAGCCCCAACCCTCGAGTGGTGGACGCAGCCTCTCAAGGCATGGCGAAGCTGGGTCCCAGTGCAGCTCCCTTTGCGCTGCGCTGCATTCAGGCAGACAGCAAACTGGAACGCCATGCCGCCGTTTGCATCCTGGAAGGGCTGGGCCCAAGTGGCGTGCAAGGGGCCAGCACGATGCTTGGGCACCAAAGCCCGGAGGTGCGGCGAGCAGCGATGCGCCTTCTGCAGAGGGCGGGCCAAGTAAGCCTCTCCCTACCGGATGCTGTGGAGCGAATCGGTGCCGGCTTGGAGGACCCATCCTCAAGGGTCCGCGGAGTGGCGGCGCTTGCCTTGGCGAACTTGGGCTCCGAGGCGGCAGGGCTTTTCAAGAGCCAGTTCTTAGAAACTCTCCGAGGAGGCGCCGCCGAAAAGGTGGAGGCAGCGGAGCTCCGGGATGTCCTCGAAGCGCTCACACGCCTTGGCCCACACGCTCGCTGGGCAGCAGAAGCCGTTGCCGACCTTTTCCGCGTTGCTGCATGGAGCGTCCGACGCGCCGCTGCGATCGCCTACGGACAGATCTGTGGAAGCTGCCCTTCCTGCGAGCTGCAGGCGGATGCACAGGAAGCAAACACCGACTCTGAAGGGACCGAGATGGAGGTAGGTGTCGTGACAGTACAAGCCGCTGCCGCGCGGCTGGCGAAGCTGCTGGAGGAGTGATGTTCTCCGTGATAGTGCAGTGCAATTCGGCCCAAGTGACTTTCTGAAGACTGCATGGTACAACTTCAGTAGAGTTCATCGCCTGTAGCTTTTCGTGCCACCATCGATGCCATCATTATTATCACCATCAGCGGCTCCTCACCATCACCGTCATCTTCACCATCACCGTGACTGTGACCATCACAATCACCATCCCCGTCATCATCATCATCATCATCATCAACATCATCATCATCATCATCAACATCATCATCATCATCATCTTCATCTTCATCACCAGCATCATCATCATCAACATCATCATCATCATCATAATCATCATCATCATCATCATCTTCATCACCAGCATCATCATCATCATCAGCATATATCAGCATGATCATGAACCCAACACAAAATCAGAAATTAGGCCTTGAATCAGAAACGGCGCATTTGAAACCAGATGCGCATCAGAAACTGCGCATCAGAAACTGCCGCGCATCTGAAGCTGCGCATCAGAAAACGGCGCGGATCAGAAACCGCCGCGCATCAGTTTCGCTTCAGCAACTAGCGCGCATCAGAAACCGGCACATCCGAAACCAGCGCGCATCAGAAACTGGAGGCACGTATCAGAAACTGGGGTTTGGAAACTAGCGCGGGGCCATGGGATGCGGGGTGGGGAAGGGGGGCATAGTAACGTCCATGGTCTGATGCATTCTGAGCACAAGCACAGAGCATCCATGGCCACAATGATACCATGGTCTAATGCATTTTGACTCCAACGGGGGGTTTGGGGGGGCATGATAATGTCCATGGTCTAATGCATTCTGAGCACGAAGCACCCAGTGCTCAACAGAGCATCCATGGCCCGACCATGATACGATGGTCTGATGCATTCTGACTCCATGGGG